CGTTTTGATAATCTGAACCGTCAATGTGTAGAACTCGTCGAGTACTATATGCTTATAAAAAATCACGTTGATCGGAAATCGATAGCTATGTGATCAAATTAGTTTCGTATTAAAAAAATTGGACAATGAACAAATTAACGGTTGACAAAAAACTGATTTGATCATATAGCTATCGATATCCGATCAACGTAATTTTTTACAAGCATATAATATTTGATGAGTTCTACACATTAAACGGTTCAGATTATCAAAACGAAACCCGTGGTGGGCTCCCACGGGGAAGCCATACCCTATTAAGAATAATTTTTTAACTTTTTATGAAAAAGTGTGTAATAAAATATTGTAATAAAATTAAAATGACCATTCTACTATTGTTGACTTTTTGACATTTGGGTAGTTGAATTCAAAGAGCAAAATAATAATTTTGCCCTCCCCACAAGCTTTCCCCAAATAATATGGATTTTTTTGATTTTTTTAGTAATTTTTTGATTTTTGTAAGTTGCTGTGTTATACAAGTGCATTTTTTAAATTTTTAGCTAAAAAAGTAGAGAAAAAAAGATGTATGTTTAGAATATTTTTTTGACTTTTTATATAAAAAAAAATTGTAATAAAATATTATAGTAAAATCAAAATGACCGTTTTACCATTATTAAGTTTTAACTTTTGAATAATTAAAATTAATGGGCAAATAAATAATTTCGTCCTCTAAGCTTCTCCATAAACTTTCTCAAAATAGTATAACTTTTTTGTTTTTTCAATAAATTTTTTATTTTTTATTTTTTATTTTTTTTGGTGACTTATCCCAAACCAATAAAAAAATATACAAAAAGGACAGCTGTGGTGGGCCGAGAAAATTGAAAAGCTCAACAGGAGATAGAGCTTCACCCCACCGCTTCATACGAGAGAGAGAGAGAGAGAGAGTTACCAGAACTGATATTTCCACCTGCACCGCCACCTCCTCCCAGAAACAATCCCTGTTATTAACACCACCCCCAACAAATAAATAAATATATCAGTAACCATCAATAAAATAATAAATCTATATTACTTTATAAAATCAAGATGAAGGTGTCTAACGTTTGAGAAGTAAAGAAGTAAGTTAAAAGTTAAATTTTTGATTTTTTTGATTTTTTTAAAAATATATAAAAAAAATAAAAAAGTAATATGATTTAAAAAAATTAAAAAATCAAATTTTTTACTTTTTAACTCAATTATTGTTTCTCAATTTTAAAAAATTTATATAAAAAAAATGTACGAGACTTGAATAAAAAAATTAATTCTTATTGCTTAAACAATACATTATGCATATATATTATAATGTTAATTAATTAACTTATTATTTATTTACGTTGCACAATTATTGTGTGTACCAGCCAAAAGTATATATATATATATGTATTAATGATCACGAGTTTCAACAAAAATGAAGGAACCTGAGCTCGAGCTCGCTGAAGATCCTGCTCCAACTGAGAAAGCTTTATCCTACTTGTCTCCAGCTGCTGCACATACGCCTATACATACAAACATATACAGATACAGATAGAGAGAAAGATAAGTCGGTTCGGTTCGGTGCGGTGAGATTTTAAAAAAAAACTTAGCAGAGAAGTTGATGGAAAATATGACACGTATTTTCCAGGAAAGTTTTTGTATTGCAGGAGGAAACTGACCTTTTTTCTGATTCGGCTCTTCCTTGCTGCTTCTCTGTTCTGCGCCAAACGTCTCAGTGTCTGTAAAAACCCAATGCATCAAAGACTTTCACCTAATAGCTTTCGGTCTTCATCAACTACTTTATTTTTATTTTCATATCACTACCTTGGCATCAAGTGCTCTCTCTGATGTTGAACCTCCAGGTCCTTTCCTCTGAAACACTCGAGAGTAAATAAAAACGGTTAATATTTCTTTCATAATGGATTATTATAATTAAGATTAATGCACCCAAAAAAAAATTTGTGAAAATATATGGAAGAATGTATAAAAAAATATGTTAAAAAATACATTAAAATTTTAAATTTTTATTCATTTTCTTCATTATTAAAAACTATCATTACTACGAAAAAATTTGTTATAACCAAACAATCCAAATGCCATGCTTATTGTGTATTTTCTTCTATCAAAAAAGGTTCCTTTTTTCAAGGTTTTTAAAACAAAAAATGTAGCGATTAAAAAGTGGGAGCACCAGAGGAAGCATATATTTCGAGTGAAGTTCACATCATTACCTGCCATTTGATTCGGGGGTTCATAGGACATTTGTGTTTCGAATTCCAAGATAGATCAAGAAACTATATACTACTGCAACTTTAAACTACAGTCTTGGGGAACTATATACCACTACAACTTTAAACTACAGTTTTGGGGAATGAATAAAGGAAGTCATTGTTATATTGAAACAAGTTGAATCCACCCCATTGCCAAGATTCTTAGTTCAGATCAGACTCCAATCACAAAATCATTCAATTCATAAATCATATAAAAGAACTCAAATTCTTTTATCAATTTTGTTAAAAGTTGTGGGGATCTACACTTTTTAGATTGACTTTATGCCTCAAAAATGGAGTTATAAAGTCAAGACATAATTCAATCAATATGAATGATTTGACACAACAAAATAGAAATATTTGAAGATAAAAAATTGATTTCACGCTTTTGAAATAGATCTTTTATTTTTAAAATTTTCTCTTTTGATAAATTAATAATGATTCAATGTAAATGATATAGCAAAAAAGAGATTTGAAGACAAAAAAATCTGAAAATGAGAGGGAGAGAATGATAATAACAACAAAGATGCCACCTTTGTCCTAAGATTTTGGGATGGTAATAGAAAGAGGAGCTTAGAAATAAATAGCATTCAGAGGGTGAGGATGAAGAGAACCTTTTCTGGGGTGTGTTTGGCAGCTTGTTGAGACTCTGATAATCCAGTTCTAGGGCCATCACTTGCCATCTCTAGTTGTTGTTGCTGCTGCTGCTGCTGTTGTTGGTGTGGCATCTGGGCATTCCTCTGATCAAAACTCTGATGATCTAAAGATGCCTTTCTACTCATAGGAGATTCTGGTTCCAGATGTGCCTCGACCTTACTTGGAAGCGTGTTCACTGCTGATCCTGAGTCAGTACTAGTCTCTCCTCCTGATTTTGAACTTCCCTATATTAAAACAAAACAAAAAAAACCCACTAAATTTTTTCAAATGGGTATTTACAAATCATCATAAACCACCTCAAAAACCTCACTTTTCAACTGGGAGTTTTCAAGAAACACAACAAAAAAGTGATATTTCAAGATGGGTATTAGAGAATTCTCTCAGAAAGAAAATAACTTGTTCAAGTTCTTTATTTTGTTTTTGTTTATTTATAACAAATGGTCAAAGAAAGGGGAGAGAGAAAACTACTATTGGGGTTTGATGATGGAATCTCATAGGCCATGCAGGGAACATTTCCAGAGTAGCTGCAGGAGGAGGCCTGCTCGCTGTAAAAAAAGCTGCAACAGAATCACCAAAAGCAAAAAATCTCTCAGAATCATCAGCAAGCAAAAAATAATAAAAACACTGCCAAAGATTTTCAAAAAACAGTTTGTTTTTTTTTCCCTTCTTTCTGCAGTCAGGTGGGGGACTCAGGTTTCCTAGTTTGAAACCCCACGCCATTCATCTCTTTCCTCCAAATATGATTAGCGTGTTAGAAATGGAAAGCCCCTCTTTGTAGACATATTCAAATCTCACTCTCTCTCCTCCAAATATGATTACTGTGTTGGAAATGGAAAGCCCCTCTTTGTAGACATATTCAAATCTCACTCTCTCTCCTCCAAATATGATTACTGTATTGGACATGGAAAGCCCCTCTATGTATATAGACATATTCAAATCTCTCCCTCTCTCTCTCTCTCTCTCTCTCTCTATAGGGGTTGGTTATGTTTGTCAAACGTCAGAAGAAGTAGAGGAGAGAAGCATACATGATTTAGCTTCATCATTATTATTGATCTTAACTTCTTGCAGCACAATAGCTTCCTCAAAATCTCCAAAATCAAAAGAAGATCCTTCTTGATTACTGAAACAAAGAAATTATTAATAACCCATGTCAGATTTTGAGAAATAAAATAAAACCCATTAATCTTTAAAAAAAAAAATTGTATTGATTTGAGAAATATAAGTGAAACAAACAATATATATACATGAAACTTAAAGGAGGATTATTAGTAATCCCATGAAGAAGTGAATATGGGATATGGTGGTTTGAAGTTCCTGTGTCTGACATTAAACCAGTCAATCCAACTCTATGACTCGCCATTCAAACCATGATTCTCATGCTTCTGCAATTCAGAAATGGTGAAAATCATTTTCCAGGAAAAGTAAATAAGAGAGAAAATGAATGAAAGTTGAGAAACAGGGGCATAGAACAACAACTACATACATGCAGTAATTTTTCTATGGAATTCTTGAGAGACAACAGTCCTCTTCTGGAGCAAAACTCAACAGAAAGAAACACAAGAACTGGAAAAGATCAAAGCTTTCTTGTCAAAGTATCTCTCTCTCTCTCTCTCTCTCAGAGCAGTGAAACTTTTTGATATTTAATGGGTCTCTATCTACCTTTCTCTCCTTCTATAAAAGAGGTTGATTATTCTGTTTTGAGTTGCTTTATTTATGGCCTTATGTATGTAGCAGTAATTATTATCAGGTTTGAAACTCATCCCACGGTACAGATAATTTTGTCCTTGCAAGCATGTCTCATGCCTCTGTTTTTGTTGTGGGGTTTCAAGAACACAAATTATTTTGTTTGGTTTTAGTTTTTTAGAATTATTTTTCATAAATTACTATTATTATTTTTTTTATTGAATTTTTTAACATTTTAAGTAATTTTTTTAATTTTTAGACACACTTAACATAAATACACTTAAAAAGTATAATATTTGTGAAAAAAATCTTTAAAAAAATCACTAAATATCAAAAATATTAAAAAAATATGAAAATTTAGTATTTTTTATATTTTTTTTATGTATTTATTAATTTTTTTAAATATTTTTCACAAATATTTTACTATTTAGATATATCTAAATAAGGTATATCTAAAAAAAATTTAAAAAAATTACTTAAAATTTAAAAAATATTCACTAAAAACAAAAAAAAAATACGAAAAATAAAAAAAAAAATCAATTTTCAAAAAACTAAATTCAGAAAACTGAAACCAAACACACTAATTTTTTTTTTTTAATTTTTAATTTTTAATTTTTTTAATAATTTTTTTTAATATTTTAAGTATTTTTTTTACTTTTTAAATGTACGTAACTTAGATATACTTAAAAAGAACAAATATTTTTCAAAAAAAGAATCAAGAAATACACAAGAATACAAAAATATAATAATTTTTCAAAAAAGAAAAGTTATATTTTTTATATCTAGTAAATTTTTTTTTTTTAAAAATACAAAAATATTATACCTTTTAATTATATTGATAAGTGTATCTAAAAATTAAAAAAATATGCTTACAATATTAAAAAAATTCACTAAAAATAATAAATTCAATTTTTACAAAATTGAATTATGGAAATTAGAATCAAATAAGGTGAATATATTTTAAATAATAATATAACATTAATTACAAAATCACACACAATATATACATATATATATATGAATAAATAAAAATTTTGAAAATGGCCTTTAAACAAATTTTATAGAATCTTAGGCCTTATTTGGTTAGTGTTTTGTGATATTATTTTGAAAATAATTTTTTGAAGAGAGTTTATAAAATTTAGAAATTTGTTTGGTTGTATATTTTACAAGAAAAATGTTTGGTAGCTCAAATTTGTATGGTCTGAATGGCATGAATGTATCAAAACGATGTCGTTTTACACCCAAAATAACGTCGTTTTGAGACATTCCAACCATTCAGGTCATAAAAATTTTGGCTACCAACCATTGTTGATTTTGAAACTAATTTTGGAGTTTGGAATGATTTGATTTTTTTTTTTGTAATTGAATAAATGTGTGTGAGAGAAAAAGTGATTGAGAAAGAAAGAGGAGAGATAAAAAGTTATTGATTGATATGTAGTAGAGAGAATAAAGTAATTTTAGAAATTTTTTTAAAAAATTTTATTAATCAAAAATGTTTTTAAAAATTTTTTCTCCAAAAATATGTTTTGAGAAACAAACTAAAAATTCATGGAAGTGAATATTGTATTTTATTTTTGAGTTTTTGTATTAATTGATATATTTTGTTTTTGTACGAAGCTTCTCTCTTTTCTTTAGTTGATTCATAATACTTTATGAATATATTATTGTGGGGGTATATTTTTTGAGTACCAACACGTGACCAAGGTGATGCCGACGTGTCAGCCGAGGTGCAACGTGTCTAGATCATGACGCCGAGGTTATCTCGGCAAGGCCGAGGTTATCTCTGAAGATATCGAAATTCGAGATAAGCGGATAAGGAATAAGAGTCCTAGAATGACGAAGGACTTTAACATGGATAAGGATAAATCTCTTAGGGAGTTTATCTTTATCTATTGGAGAGTCCAGGATGAATACTGAGCAAGAGTCCATTGAAGCTGGGCTTCTAGTGGGACTAGGATTGAGTTAACTATAAAAAAAGAGGCACCCCCAATGGGTCTAAGGTACGCAATTTATATTCTGAACAGTGAGTTTAACACTATTGATTATCTTTGAGAGATATACTGACTTGATCGTCGGAGTGCCCCCGGGTGAACGAACTACCGCCGGAATCTTCTCTTTCTGTTGCAAGTCAGCTAGGTGTCATCTATTCTGCCAGTTCTCTCAAACCGAATACTGAGTTGGGCAGTGTGATCGGAAAATCACTCACACAATTTGGCGCCGTCTGTGGGAAAGAAAGAAGAATAGATGGTCAGTGACGGACAGAAAGAAAAGATTGGGGACGACACTCCTGCTGGAAGTGGCAGACCTATCAACGTTGACGTCGAAGGAGACAACCGCAACACAGAAACTCGTGACCAGAATCACAGCAAGAAAAACGTCGGCCAGGATGGCGACGCACCAAAGAAGCCAGATCAAAGTGGGTACTACAATGAGGATGACCTCCAGGTATGGAAAGATAGATGCCTGCAGAGAGACGAAGAGGTAAAAGAGATAGCGAACAAATTGGCAGATCTACAATCGGTCGTCAATTTTATGATGCAAAACAATGTCATGCAGCCACCATTCCCGCTATAGGGCACATCGATTCCAGCAGCCAATGCACAGAAGAGAGGGCAGAAACCAATCCCAGAAATCCCCCAGCACGCCAGAAGCAAAAAACACTCTCACCAGCCTTCAAGGGAGGTCGGACGAGGAGAGTCGAGGAGAGTCGAGGAGAGAAGAATCACGAATGACGCATCGCGCCAAGGAGGTAGACCTCAAAGAACATTGGCATGTTCAGGGGCAGGCGCTCTGCTTCGACACAACTCACGGAGAAAAATCGAAAAGGACCCACCATGAAACTGAGAGTAGTATGCCAAAAAGACTAAAGTCAGGAGATAGCCGAGCTCCTGGACGGAGCAAAGAAGACTTGAGAGATTACCTCAAGAGAGAGCAGCAGAATACTGATGCCGAGGTAACTTCCCCTAAAAAGCCGAGAACACCATTCTCGGTGGAGCTAGACAAATTCGAGGCTCCGAAGAGATTCAGTATGCCAAGGTTCCAAATATACGATGGTAAGTCGGACCCCAACTTTCATGTTGGATTATACCTGAATTCAATGGCACTATACAGTGGGAACGAGCCATTGTTCTGCAAAGTGTTCCCCTCATCTTTTGGGGAGATTGCATCAGATTGGTTCCACAAATTACCAAAGGGAAGCGTAAAGACTTGGGAAGGCCTGGCCGAGATGTTTGTGGCCAGGTTCGTGACAAACAAGCTGCAGCCATTAAGGGTGGACGCATTGATGGCTTTGAAGATCAGTAAGGATGAAGGCCTCATGGCCTATGCAAAACGGTACTATGAGGTGTTCAACCGAATACCAGAGTGCAATCAAGAGGTGGCGGTCGTATCTTTCAAGAACGGCCTAAAAGACAATTGTCCACTACGAAAATCTTTGGCAAAAACATTGCCAAAAAGCATGGAAGAACTCATGGCGAGGATCGAGAAGTACACCAGAGCCGAAGAAAATGCATCAGGGACCAAGGAGGCAAAGTAAGAAAAGGGAAACGGCTTACCGAAGCGAGGCCGAGGTAACAACGGATCCAGCAAGCAGGAGATAAAACTGATTGCAACACAAGCAGTGACAACTGTGTTCCGAATCCCAATTCACAAAGTCCTGGATCAAATTCGGAAACAACCCTATTTCAGAACACCAGCAAAGGCACCAGGAGAATTCATAGGAAGAAACCTTGGCAGGCATTGTGCTTACCACAATGAAAACGAGGATATGACTCAGGGCTGCAGAGCCCTAAAAACACACTTGGAAGACCTGGTGAGGCAAGGCCATCTGAGAGACCTTGTCGATGAGGCCAGGACAAGGGAAGAACAGGCAAGATTGCCTCAGGCGACAACAGCTCCACCTCCTCCAGCACAACAACCACAAACAGGAGGACCTCGAATAATTAATGTACTTCACTCGAAGGTCAACGAAAACGAGATTCGGGGGGAGACCCAGAAAGTGAAGCACTTACAGCATGTCTACCAAGTCGGGGAGAAGAGATATCGAGCAGAGGAGTACCAAGGACCAGTAGTGTCCTTTTCTGAAGCCAACCTTGAGATGGTGCAGCATCCGTATAATAATGCCTTAGTAGTATCCCTCCAGGTTGGGGAATGCCAAGTAAAGCGCATCCTGATTGACCAAGGCAGCTCTTGTGACATCATGTACGTCCGATGTTACAAGGAGCTCGGCTTTCACCCAGACGATATGGAGCAGTCCAATAGCCCAATGGTTAGGTTCAATAGAGCGCCGACATGGCCACTGGGAACAACCAGTTTGGAGGTGTAGGCAGGCACCAGGAAGATAACAACAGAGTTCACCGTAATTGACACACCTTCCCCTTACAACATTATTTTGGGAAGGTCATGGTTGTATGCAATGAGGGCTGTTCCCTCAACTATAGCGGTTCCCAACGGAGTATGGGATTGAGGAGGTCAGAGGAGATCAGCTGCAGGCAAAGAATTGCTCCATGGCAGCAATGAAATCCACCTGCAGCATTCGAAAACTAGAGAAGACAGAGATTGAAGACGAGGACGTGGAGGTCCTAAAGGATGTCAGCAAGGAGCCGGCCGAAAAGAGTGAAGAAACACTGAAGAAAATCCTCGTCCAAGAGGGGGATGAAGAACGCTTCTTTCTTCTTGGCTCGGGCCAAGCCAAAGAGGAAAAAAGAGAGATGGAAGCTTTCTTAAGAGCAAATTTTGAGGTGTTTGCTTGGACGCCTTACGAGATGCCTAGCATTGACCCCGAGGTCACTTGCCATAAACTGAATGTTAATAGGTCGGCAAAACCGGTAATACAACGAGCAAGAAAACCGACATTGATACACGTCGAAGCAGTGGAGGAGGAAGTAGACAGACTTCTCGAGGCCAGGGCCATTCGAGAGGTAGATTACCCAACATGGCTATCAAACACAGTAGTAGTGAAGAAGAAGAATAGTAAATGGAGGGTCTGCGTGGACTTTACCAGCCTGAACAAGACA